GCCAGGAAATTAAATTCTTTCTGTAAAATATGTCTGTGAAGCAGATTTTCTACATTTTTATATTTTCGAGTTGTATCAGTAATTACAACTTCATGAACGTGTAAGGCGTTTAGATGGCATGTAACCATTTGTTACTTAAAGATACAATGTTTTGATATTTTGATAAACAGTGAATTTAGGTTTTATCTACTTGTCACATTCTTAATGTTTCTTAAGCTACCACTGCCCAGACCTAGTCGCTATAAAATGATAGATTTGATTTTTCCATTGTCTTAAAAACCTGGCATGGGGAAATGGATTGATACAGGTAGATGTTTCAAGCAGCTTGTTTAAATATGATGATTAAGCATTCAGTTGCTTTGTTAGCAGTTTTGATACATATAGCTTCTGATTTCTTTGCTCCCACCTTTTTTACCCTCCATTAGTTTCAGATGTTAGATTTTAGATGTCATCTCAAGAACTATTGCTTTCAAGAGTTCTGTAACGGGGAAGGGAGGAGGAAACAAAGACTTTCATCTATCAGTTGGGAGGAAAAGAAAGAGCATAAAGGGTTAAAAAGAGGTTTTCATTTCTACCACATGCCCTATTGTGTGAACATATGCATAAGTCTATTGAAAGTTTTCAGAAGATGGGCAGGCCACCAGTTGCTCGTCTCCTGCAGTTCCAGTAGACATCTGTTGCCCCAGAGCATTAACCAGTCTGTTCAAAGGGACATCCTTCCTTTGTTAGGCAGAGAGATGCAGACAACAGCACTCACTGAAATACAATGGTAATTAAATACACAGAGACTACAGCAGTAGGTATTTATTACATATTCATTATTTTATTTTCATTGTTCTCATGGTATTACCACTTATATAATAATGAGAACCCACTTTATGGCATTGTAACTTTGCAGTAGGGACAAATACATTGATTAATAAGTTCATGGTCTAATATTCCTGATTAATATGAGGCTCTTTAGAATATAAAAAAAAATTTACTGGATTTGAGATGGATTGTCTAAGTCATCTAATGAGAACTTTAAGCAAATATCACTATATGAGGGCATTTGTGTGTATGCAACAAATTTCTAGTAAATAGTGTATATAAACATGCCTTCAGCTAATATAAAGTTTTTGTTTGGCAATTAAAATAGTTAGCTATACTTCATCATCAGGTACAAAATAAGCATGAAAATTTGGTTCTTTTATCAATAAATAATATTTGACTTTTTATTAGGTCTTTTGCAAGAATTGTTTTAATTTCCAGTACAATATTGGAGAGCAATCTGTAGCTTTACTAAGTGTAGAAATCTGTTTTCAGACCATTATATTTTTGCCCAGTACCTTCTGTGTTCATGAAGATAGTATATAAAAGCCAATTATAATGGATCCATGATAAAAACCATATTTCTTGGAGTTTTTTGATAACTACAGGAATATAAACACTAACCTACTTTCTGTGTGAAATTTTGCCTATGCTGCTGCTTCATACAATAAGGAAAATTATCCTAATTAGTTAATAGTTGATTAAAGATGATTTATATATGTTTGCATTTGAGTAAATGCAAAACTTAAAGGTCTAATAAATGGTTTAGAAATTAAGGGGAAAACTATTTTTTACATTACATGTAATAATAAATTTTGTGATATTGTAGTCTTTGCTATCTTTTTCAAAATTATTGATCATTTTTAAGGCATTGAACAAAATAAAGATAATATACTGTCCTTTGTCTTAAAAATTCTTATAATTCCTTGTTTTATATATTGCATGAACAAGTATTGCAGACTATGAAAATATTTTTATCAGTTTTTAAATCTTAAGACTAGTATTTTTTATTGAATGATTTCAAGATATGGCCAAAATTCTTTAAGTTCCATATTAATTTTGTACTAATTGCATGTGGGTGAAGAAACATTTTAGAGATTCAAGTTTTAAAAACCAAATCTTTATCATTTGGGTCAATACAAATAAGGTTATTTCCAATTTGTATCATGAAGTGGAGAAAATATATGTACTTTATAGGCTTGATAATTGAACTCATTTGCCTTTATTTGTACTACTAACAGTAGGAACTAAAAATTACTTAACTGCTTGTTTAGTATGAGATACAAAACATTCGAAAACTTTTTTTGAGGTAACCAGTGAAATCTGGAGGTGAGGAGAAGCCTGGCAGTGTGAAAAAAGTTCAACCTGAATGTTTTAAAAGAAAAATGATTTTGCCTAGCAAAATCAGATGTTAGTTTTTTTAAAAATGGGATAGAATAAGCTTACATTTATGCTTAGTACTAAAAATCATGTTAACCCAATTACTGTAAACTTTTTATTTAGTGTATATAAATTATGTGAGCTATATGTGGTATTCTCTAAATACATTCTTATACAAATTGAGTTTATCTGGTTTAATATAAAATCACAGTCCTACTTTTTTCTACCTATTTTATCATTTTAGCCATATAATAAAGTTATATAGGAAAGCAGATTTATACAGTACCATCAACACTTTTTTTTATTAGCTGAACGTGATAAGGAAAGATTTAAATACTTTTTTAGGGTGGATAATTTTCAGTTTAAAAACTACAATATTGGTGGTGTTTCTTTGAAAAAATGTGAAAATTAGGAATAATTTAACTTACTCTTTAAACACAACACTATATTCTAATGTGTTCTACTGGTGGTATTTTTCATTAATATTCATCTTTTTTGAAATAGTCCAAAAGAAACACACTGCAGCTCAATATTAAAATAGTATTTCCCAGTTCAGTTCAGGAATTTGGTCAGTGAGTCATCATCTTGAAGAATTATCTCACAACAGCACTTAATGCAGAACCCAAACTTTTCAGGGGAGATCAAAAATGTTGCCCATTAAATACACTTCCTGCAGTAAGAGCAGATTGTGGGGTTTACAGAACAATGATGTCGGAGTTTCCAGATTGGTTTGGCAGCTGCATTGTTCTCAGAGGGTAAACCAGACGCACTTAAGTCCCAGTCTTTTTTATAGGCTTTTGTTCATACCAAATTATTCTTTCACTGTGTTAGCATTCATGATGGCATGTTAAAAGAGTGCAGCTTAGCAACTACCTTCTGGTTGCCAGGCAGCCCGCTTCCAATAGGTTTTCCTTGTTTAAGATACTTTTGGTGGGAGCTCTAGGAAGGCTACAGTGCAGATTTTTCTTTTAACTGTATCCCTTTATTAGGATGCTCTTGTAATTTGTTTATTGCGTTATGGTGACAGAATATTACAGTAGTTAAATCACTGAGTGTAAAGATTTGCTTTCAAACTCTTAATTTAATTCTAAATAATTGGGCTTCTGCATATCCATATTAATAGAAAAAATCAAAGTCTATACAGTTTCACAATGGGGCAGATGTATATAGAGCTCTCCTAGGGAATATTTCTTTATATCAGTTGTGCAGTCAGGAGCAAAGGGAGTTTGATTTTTTTTTTAATTAATGAATGCTGTGTTAGTAGAACAATGATATCAAAGTTATCTGTCTTAAGTGATAAAACCTGAAGAAATGCCTCTAGAAGTATGTAGGAGTTCTACACTGAAGGAATTTTAAGTGTATTGATATCAAATAGAATATTCCATGTTTTCTTTTCTAGTATTTACTATAGTTGATAAAATTTATTTCATAATGTAGAAGTACTTCCTTCTAATAAGTTCACTAAGTATGTATTCAAATGTGTGACTTCTTAGACAAATCACTTAGCATTTTCTCAACATTCATATAATAGCTCCGCTCTAGTGTAAATAAGATGTTGAAGAAGCTTTAGAATAAAATGTTTTTCCAATTTTCCTTTTTAGGTTACTTAAATAGGTGTTTCATTACAGTTTCAAAATTCAGCTACCCCTGGTTTACTAATGTTATGCATGGATAGAATACTGGAATTGCCTTAATAACTAAACTACTAATGTGAATATAGGCCTTACAATGAAGTACAAGAGGAAATTATTTTGTTATGCTAAACTGTTCCTGGTAGACAGGTAACAGTTATTCCCAATAGACTTCAAGGAAAACAGTGAAACAGCAAAAGCATTGTAAATAGTTAAAGCATTTCTGTAGGGAGAAGGTTGGAAAAAAGATGACTTTTTTAGCCGTACAGATGATAGTTAACTGTGTATCTGATAGAATATAGAAATAGTTTCTGCCATAACGTTCAAAAAATTAAGATAACATTATTCAGTATACTTAATTGTTTGCTGCTAATTTTATGTGAACGATTTCATTTCTCTGCATTCTATAAATGTGCATAGAATAAAAGAGCTTTTTGCCCCTGGAGTCAAATAGACTGTAGTGTCCCTGGCACTTAATAAGGGTAGCTTAACATTAAAAATTATATTCTACTACTGTGTTCAGTATTCACAAAAAAAGATTAGGGTAAAACTGCTTATCTCAAATGGAATGTAATTCACTGTATAAGTGTTAATTCCTTATTGGCTGTTGTAGAACTGTGCTCTTTCATCACAGTACCAAAATTATTTTTGAAACATCTTTAGATTGTTGTTAAGCTTGATCCAAATTAATAATTTTTCAGTTATAGTAAGTTCATGTTTTCCTTCCTTTCTACATGACTTTCTTTTTAAAAGAACGCTTTACAAATTTTTATGAGTTCTTTCAGAGAAAAGGCACACATCCTGTCACAGCATATCTGAAATGTATTTTTTGATAATATTCTATATGTGACTCAAGAATATAGGTCACTAACAAAAAATCTCTTCTTCAAGGTTGAGAAGCAGCCTGATATAGTGGGAAAAGCAAGGGTTTTGGAGTCAGACAAAACTGGGTGAAAAATCTAGTTCTACTAGTTATTTACTTTTTCACCTTGAAGGGTGGCCTTTCTAATTTCCAACTTCATCTGAAAAACAGGGCCGATACTTACTTGGCAAAAGTCTTATGAAGGATGAGACGATGTACACAAAGCACAAAGGTATTCAGTGGTTTGGTAATTCTCTTGCGACCTCTTTGTTGAAACAGTAAATATGAAATTCTAAATATTTTACATTTTTCTCTAGGAATGTGGGGTGCTTTGCATCCAGGATTACAGAAAAAACAGCCAAGTGGAGCCAAGTACACGTAACAGCTTCATGGGCTTGAAGGGTCATCTGGGGCACGACCAAGGCCACCTTTCTGTGGAGAGCGCTGACCCACATTTCAGTACATCTGCACCTTGGTCAATGATAGAAAAGCCAGCAATGGATAAAGTTAATTCCGAGAAGGACGAAAAAGAGGTGTCTGAAGACAATGTGAGCTGCGGTGATTCTGAAGAAAGCCCGAATTCTGATAATGAGTCAGAACAGTTGGGCAGCTTTTCAGTAGAGCCATGCTTATTAACCAAGACTCACAGACAACTGTGTAGGTCTCCCTGTTTAGAGCCTCACATACTCAAACACAGTGAAAGTTTGCAAGACTTTAAACCTGAAGAGTCCCAGGCTACATCCACGGAAGTGAAGAAACCGCCTGATGTTGTGCGAGAATACCAAACAAAACTGGAGTTTGCACTTAAATTAGGTTATTCTGAAGAACAGGTTCAGCTTGTGCTAAACAAACTTGGTACTGATGCTTTAATCAATGATATTTTGGGAGAACTTGTCAAACTTGGAAATAAAAGTGAGACTGAACAAACAGTTAGTACAATTAATGGTATAATACGTGAAACATCTTCTCTGGAATCTCAGCGATCTGAATCTCCAATGCAAGAGACTGTAACAGATGATGGGGAAAATCTGAGACCAATAGTTATTGATGGCAGCAATGTGGCAATGAGGTAAGTGGAGAAATTGTCACTATTATTAAATAGCCTTTAAAAGATATTTCTAATTTGTGATTATTTCTCTACTAACAGTCATTAAAGTCAAGATTACTCTGCATTGCCAAGATTAGTTTACATAATTTTCATTGTGTCTCTTCTCGGGTGTGTCTACTTCTCGGGTGCTCAGCCATTGTCACTCCATTCATCTTTAAATAGAGACCATTATGTACATATTACATCATCTTTACTCATTCATCTAACTATGGACACTCAAGTTACTTCCATATCTGTGTAAATAGTGATGAATAAATGGGCGCATATACCTTTACAAATCAGTGTTTTTGTTTTCATCAGATAAGTACACAGAAGTGGAATTATTGGGTCATATGGTATTTCTATTTTTAATTTTTTGAGGGACCTACATACTCTTCCATAGTGAGTATGGAAGAGAGTGGCTTCCAATTTATTTCCCATGACAGTGCACAAGGGTTCTCTTTTCTCTACATGCTAACACTTGTTATTTATTGTCTTCTTGATATTTACCATTCTGACTGGTGTGAGGTGATATATCATTATGGTTTTGATCTGTGTTTCCCTGATGATTAGTGATGTGAGTATCTTTTCATGTGTCTATTGGCAATCTGTATGTCTCCTTTGGAAAAGTGTCTATTTAGGTCCTCTGCCCATTTTTTAATTGGATTGTTTGTGGTATTTGGTGTTAAGATATATGAGTTCTTTACGTATTTTGGATATTAACTCCTTCTTGGAAATCTCATTTGCAAATATATTCTCTCATTCAGCAGGTTGCCTTTTTGTTTTTCTGATGGTTTCCTTCACTGTGCAGAGCATTTGGTTGGTGTAGTCCCACTTGTCTATTTTTGTTTTTGCTTCTTTTTGCCTGGGGAGGCAGATCCAGAAAAAATTTCTAATGCTGATGTCCAAGAGTTAAATGCCCATATTTTCTTTTAGGAGCTGTATGGTTTCAGGTCTTCTAGATCTTTAACCCATCTCAAGTTTATTTTTGTTTATGGTCAGTGAGTGGTCCAGTTTCATTCTTTTGCATGTAGATACTCACGTTTTTCCAATACCATTTATCGAAATGACTTTTTTTTTTCCTGTTGTATAGTCTTGCATCCTTTGTCATTAATTGGACTATTTCTTTGATCTATGTGTCAGTGTGCCAGTACCAGATGAGTTTTGTGCTTTGTTCGTAATCAGGGAGCAAGATACCTTCAGCTTTCTTTCTCAAGAGTGTTTTGGCTATGTGGGATCTTTTGTGGTTCCGTACAAATTTTAGGATTATTTGCTCTAGTTCTGTGAAAAATGCCATATCTTGATATTTTGAAGGGAATTGCATTGAATCTATAGACTGTTTTGGGTAGTATGGATATTTGAACAATATCTTTTCTTCCAATCCATAGCACAGTATATCTTTGTGTCATTTTCAGTTTCTTTCATCAGTGTCTTACAGTTTTCAGAGCATAGGTTTTCAACTTCTGGTTAAATTATTTTTTAAGGCAATTGTAGATGGGATTGTTTTTTCAATTTCTCTTTCTACTAGTTCATTATTAGTATACAGAAATAGGAATTTCTATATGCTAACAGATTTCTACAATTTTACTGAATTCATTTATTACTTCTAATAGTTTTTTTATAGAATCTTTAGGGTTTTCTCTATATAACCATATACACTCTATAGTCTATATATATATAACTCATGTCATCTGCAAATAGTGACAATTTTATTTCGTCCTTAACAATTTGGATGACTTTTGTTTCTATTTCTTGTCAGATTGCTGTGGCTAGGATTTCCAATACTATGTTAAATAGTGTTGAGAGTGGGCATCTTGTCTTTTTCCTGATCTTAGAGGAGAGCTTTCAGCTTTTCACCGTCAAGTATTATATTCACTGTGGGTTTGTCATATATGGCCTATATTATGTTGAGGTATGTTCAATCTGTACCCATTTTGTTGAGAGTTTTTATCATAAATGAATGTTGAATTTTGTCCAGTGCTTTTTGAGCATCTTTTGAGATGATCATATGGTTTTTATCCTTCCTTTTGTTCAAGTGGTGCATCACATTGATTGGTTTGTGGATATTGAACCATCCTTGCATACCTGGAGTAAACCCCAGTTGCTCATGGTGAATGATCCTTTTGAAGTATTTTTTAATTCTGTTTGCTAATATTTTGTTGAGTATTTTTGCATCTATGTTCATCTAGGATAGTGGTCTGGAATTTTCTTTTTTTAGTGTCTTTGCTCCTAGTAACTGGGTGATGCTGATCTCAAAATGAATTTGGAAGCATCTCTTTCTCTTCTATTTTTTGGAATAGTTTGAGAAGGATAGTATTAGCTCTTCTTTAAATGTTTGGTAGAATTCACCTGTGAAGCCATCTTTTCCTGGAGTTTTATTTGTTGGAATTTTCTTTTTATTACCAATTCATTTTCATTACTGATAATCAGCCTGTTCCAGTTTTCTATTTCTTCTGGGTTCATTCTTGGAAGATTGATTGTTTCTAAGAATGTATCCATTCTGATAGGTTGTCCTGTTTATTGGTATATAATTTTCCTAGTAAACTCTCATAATCCCTTTTGTTTCTGTGCCATTGTTTGTAACTTCTCTTTCACTTTTGATGTTATTTATTTGAGTCCTCTCTTTTTCTTTCTTGATGAGTCTGGCTAAAGGTTTATCAATTTTCTTTATCTTTCCAAAGAACCATTTATTTGTCTACAGGTATTTTTTAAAATTCCCCTTTGATTTCTTCATTGACCCATTGGTTGTTTAGTAACATGTCATTTAGCTTTCACATGTTAATGTTTTTTCTAGTAATTTTCTTATAATTGATTTCTAGTTTCATACTTTTGCAGTCAGAAAAGGTGCCTAGTATAATTTCCATCTTCTTAAATTTATAGAGACTTGTTTTGTGTGATCTGATGTGATCTATCCTGAAGAATGTTCTATGTGCACTTGAAAAGAATATGTATTCTGCTGTCTTGGGATGACATGTTCTGTATGTATCTGTTAAGTCCGTCTGGTCCATGTGTAGCTCAAAGCCATTATTTCCTTAATTGATTTTCTATCTGGATGATCTATTCATTGATGTAAGTGAATGTCAAAGTGCCCACCTATTATTCTATTACTGTCAATTTCTCCCTTTATGTCTGCTAATATTTGCTTTGTTTACTTAGGTGCGCCTGTGTTGGGTGCTTAATGTTTACAATTCTTTTATCTTCATACTCTATTAATCCCTTTATCATTGTGTAATGCCCTTCTTTGTCTCTTCTTAGAATTTTTGTTTTCAAGTCTATTTTGTCTAAGTACTGGTACCCCAGCTTTTTTATTTCCATTTGCATGGAATATCTTTTACCATCCTTTCACTTTCAGTGTATGTTTCTAGGCCTGAAGTGGGTGTCTTGTAGGCAGCATATAGATGGGTCTCCTCTTTTGTTTTGTTTTGTTTTGTTTTTTGTTGTTTTAACTCATAGTTAATAGCAGCAATACAGCAAAGGATGCAAATTCACATCAGCCAAGGTGGGAGACACACAGGCCAAGTCCAGGAAAGTCTCAACCAGAGAATATACAGCTGTCATCTCCCAAGGGTATGGTGAGGAGTTATTTTCCCAGTATTGGTGGTGGGACACCACCATGGAGTGTCATCAACTGGGGATGCATTCCCAAGCCTTGGTGGTGTTTCTACTGGGGGCTCTATGATCAGCAGATAGATGGATCTTGTTTCTCTATCCGTTAAGTCCCCCTATATCTTCTGAGTGGCACATTTAGACCATTTACATTTAGCATAATTATTGGTAGATATATACTTACTGCCAATTTGTTAATTGTTTTCTGGTTGTTTTGTAGTTTTTCTCTGATCCTGTCTTCTGCTCTCGTCCCTTGTGAGTGATGACTTTCTTTAGTGTTATGCTTGGTTTCCTCTGTCTTTATTTTTTGTGTATTATGATAGGCTCTTGGTAGTGGTCACCATGAGGTTCATACATGACATCTTAGGTGTATAGCAGCAGTCTCTATTAAGTTGATGGTCAGTTAAGTTCAAATGCATTCTAACAGCACTACAATTTTTACTCCTCTACCTCCACATTTTATGTATATGATGTCATTTCATACCTTTTTTTGTGTGAGTCCCTTATCTAATTTTTTAGATAAAATTGATTTTATACTTTTGCTTTTAACCTTCATACTAATTTTTAAGTGATGTACTACCTTTGCTATGTTTGCTTTTTCCAGTAACATTTTTTCATTTCATAATTTTCTTACTTCTAGTTATGGCCTTTTCTTTTCCTCTCAAGGAAGTCCCTCTACCATTTCTTATAGGGTCTGGTTAGTAGTTATGAATTCCTTTAAATTTGTTTCTCTCTCCTTCAATTTGGAAGGATAACTTTACCATTTATAATATTCTTGGGTATAGTGTTTTTTCCTTTCAGCACTTTGACTATATTATGCCATTCCCTCCTGGCCTGCAAAGTTTCTGCTATAAAAATCAACTGATAACCTTGTGGGGTTTCCCTTGTATATAACTAGCTGCATTCTCATGCTGCTTTTAAGATCCTCTATCTTTTATTTTTGACATTTTAATTATCATGTGTCTTAGTGTAGACCTCCTTGGGTTCAGCTTGTTTGGAGCACTCTGTGATTCTCAGACCTGGATGTCTGTTGCCTTTCAGCAATTATTTCTTCCAAGTTTTCCACCCCTTTCTCTCTATTCCTTCTGGGACCCCTGTAGTGTGAATGTTACTACACTTGATATTGTCCCTGAGGTTCCTTAACCTGTGCTCATTTTTCAAAACTCTTTTTTACTTTTTGCTGTTCAGCTGGGGTACTTTCCCTTTACCTTGTCTTCCAGATCACTGATCCATTCTTCTGCATCTTTTAACCTGCTGTTAGTTCCCTCTAGTGTATTTTTCATTTCATTTATTATATTCTTCAATTCTGCTTGGTGCTTTTTGTTTTGTCTCTTTGTTGAATGCTCACTAAGTTCATCCACTTCTCTCAAGTTTGG